GCGGGCGGAGCCGACGGCCCGCTTTGGGTCGCGGTTCCCCTTTTGGGCTCCGGTGTGAAGGGTTGGAAGGGTTGGAAGGACCCCGGTGCTGCGGGGCGGCTGAAAGCAGAGCCACAGGAGGGAGCGGGGCGCTGGGGGGATCCGCGGGGTAATTAGTGAGTGCAGGGTCATTAGGGGACACCAATTAGCGCAGCGCCCATCCACGCAGAACCGCTCTCGTTCTCCCTCTGCAGACTGAGCTCCAGCTCTGCCTCGCCCACTGCTCCCAATACCACCACCAGTACCACCACCACCACCACCAGTACCACCACCAGTACCACCACCAGTACCACCACCACCACCACCAGTACCACCAGTACCACCAGTACCACCACCAGTACCGCCAGTACCACCAGTACCACCACCACTACCACCACCAGTACCACCAGTACCACCACCACCACCACCAGTACCACCAGTACCACCAGTACCACCACCACTACCACCACCAGTACCACCACCAGTACCACCACCATCACCACCAGTACCACCACCAGTACCACCAGTACCACCACCAGTACCACCACCAGTACCACCAGTGCCTCCCAGTGCCTCCCAGTCCCCCATCCCCACTGACCCCCGCTTCACACCACGCGTTCCCAGTGCCTCCAGTTCACCACAGTGGCTCCCAGTTCCCCCCCCACACTCCCAGTATGTCCCAATTGCCCCCAGTAGGCCCCAGTACCTCCCAGTATGTCCCAGTTCCCCCCCCACACGCTCCCAGCAGCCCTCACCCCCAGTTCCCCCCCCCATGATCCCAGTGGCTCCCAGTTGCCACCAGTAGGCCTCAGTTCCCTCCCAGTGTCCCCCCTCCCTCCCCTCCCCACCCTTTTTGCCACATCTGCAGCAGCACAACCAATCAGCGCGCAGAGCACGGCGCAGAGCCCGCCCCCAGCCCCGTCGGCGGGAAAGGAGCACCCAATGGAAAGCCGCGACGCAGCAGGGAGGTCCCGCCTCCCCGTATGCAAATAAGAGGCGGTGCTCGGGATGACGGACAACTCCCGGAGCCAATCCGAACCGGAGGGGCGGGGCCACGAGTGCCAGTGGGCCCTGAGGGCAAACGAGGGTCTCTGGGGCGTCAACGAGGGGGGCGGGGGGCAAATGGGGAACAAAGGGGGGCAACTGGGGACCCTGGGGGGCAACTGGGGGGCCGGGGGGGGCGGCCGTGGCCGTGGGGCTAAGCCCAGCCTTCATCCCCCCACGTGATCTGTGGCTCTGGGTGGGCACCGAGCGGGAAGGGAGAAGGGCCGCGGGTGGCAGCAGCGCGGGGACGGCCAGGCGGGCACAGGTGGGTGCGGGGGGGGACGGGGACCCCCGAAGTGGGGGTCCGGGGGGGGCAGGGGGGGCCCTCGGGGAGGTGACGTCCGATGGCGGCGGTGCTGGGAGTGACGGAAGGGGAAGTGGGGCTTCCTGAGGGCTGGGAGTGTGGGGCGTCACGGGCACCCATGGGTGGGGCTCAACGGGACGCGGTGGCACCCAGGAGTGGTGGCTCCGGGTGGGCATCGGTGGCATCCAGGGGAGCTGGACCCAGATGGACAATAAGGGGCCGTGGCCCCATGGCGTGTCGGGGTCCCCCGGGGGTGGTGACCAATGGGGGGTGACCCCATATGGACATTAACGTCACCTAAGGGAGGAGACCCCATGTGGACACTGATGTCCCCGAGGGGAGGTGACCGCTGGGCCTCGTTACTGGACTTGTCCCTTCTTGGTCCTTGGGAGGGGTCCCCAGCCCACCACCTGTGTCCCCAAGGGGTGTCCCCAACCCATCATCACCTGTGTCCCCAAATAGACGTCCCCAACCCACCACCCGTGTCCCCAGATAGATGTCCCCAACCCATCGCCTGTCCCCAATCCACCACCCGTGTCCCCAACCCCCCACCTGTCCCCAACCCACCACCCGTGTCCCCAAGGAGCATCCCCGCCCAGATGTGTCCCCAAATAGATGTTCCCAACCCACCACCTGTCCCCAACCCAACACCACTGTCCCCTATCTATGTCCCCAACCCATCACCCATGTCTCCAACCTACCACCCGTGTCCCCAGATAGATGTCCCCAACCCAGCACCACTGTCCCCAACCCACCCCCATGTTCCCAGGTAGGTGTCCCCAGCCCACTCTCATGTCCCCAAACAGGTGACCCCAACCCGCCACCTGTCCCCAGCCCACCCCAAGTCCCCAGACAGGTGACCCCAACCCCCCCAAGTCCCAGCCTGCTGTCCCCAACCCCAGCCTCCCCCCGCCCCCAGGATGTCCCTGTCCGCCCTGCCCTCGGCCAGCAGCTCCGCCGTGCTGGCGTCGTCTCGCGCCCTGCGTGCGCTGGTGCAGCTGGCGGAGGCGCTGGGGAAGCCGGAGGCGCTGGCGGCGGAGGTGGCGAAGGCGCAGGAGGCGGCGGCGGAGGCGGAGGCGGCCCTGGAAGGTTTGGAGGCGGCGCTGGCGGCGGCTCTGAGCCACTCGGCCCAGCTGCCCGCCGCGCGGGGCCTGGAGGCCCAAGGGATTTACCGGGCGCTGCGGGACATGGCGGCCGCCCACGCGCGGGAGTTGGAGCGGGAGGTGGGCCGCAACCTGCGGCGCCGGCGGCTGCTGGGGGTCCTGCGGAACGTCGCCGTGGGGCTGCTGCTCCTCTGCGCCCCGCTGCGTGAGTGTGGCTGGGCTGCGGGCGGCGGGGAGATGGGGGAGCGGTACGGGCCGACAGGGGGCACTGGGAGCCTATGGGGTCGGTGGGGGTCAGTAGGAAACCGTAGGGAGCAACGGGAGACAACAGGGAGCGGTAGGAGCCAGTAGGGATCATGGGAGCCAGTAGGGATCACAGAAACCAATAGGAATCAATAGGAGCCAGTAGGGATCATAGGAGCCAGTAGGGATCAGGAGCCAATAGGGATCACAGGAGCCAAGAGGGATCAAGAGGAGCCGAGAGGGATCATAGGAGCCAATAGGGATCAACAGGAACCAGTGGGGATCAGTAGGAGCCAGTGGGGATCATAGGAGCCAAGAGGGATCCTAGGAGCCAATAGGGATCAAAGGAGCTGATAGGGATCATAGAAGCCAAGAGAGATCATAAGAGCCAATAGGGATCAACAGGAGCCAGTAGGGATCATAGGAGCCAATAGGGATCAACAGGAGCCAGTAGGGATCATAGGAGCCAATAGGAATCATAGGAGCCAATAGGGATCAATAGAAGCCAATGGGAGCCCGTGGGGATCAGTAGGACGCAATAGAGATCAGTAGGAGCCAACAGGGAGCAGAAGGAGCCAACAGGGATCAATAGCAGCCAATAGAGAGCAATAGGAGCCAATTGGGATCAAATAGGAACAAAGGGACCCACTCTGTGTCCCCCTAAGTGGGGACAGTGGGAACAGGGACAATGGAAGGGATGGGGACAATGAGGACAATGGGGGGGAATGGGGACAATGGGAACGGGGACAATGGAAGGGATGGGGACAATGAGGACAATAGGGGGGATGGGGACAAAGTGGGGGGGCTACGGGGTCAGTGGGGCTGCAGGGGACGCTGGGGGTGTGACGGGGCTCCGTCCCGCAGTGTCCCTGGACGTGGTGCGGGAGGCGCTGGGGGTGACGCAGGAGAGCCACGTGGTGCCGTGCCTGGCCACCGTCACCGCCGTGTGCCAGGTGGCCCTGTGGAGCGCCGAGAGGTCCGAGGGCCATTTGGTGGAGGCGGCGGAGCAGCAGCGCCGGCAGGCGGTCCGGTACGGCCGCATGGCTCAGAACGCCGCCAACGCCGCCGCCGAAGCCACCGAAGCCGCCGGAGCCATCGGCGCCGCCAACGCCGTCCGCGAGACCCTGGAGGAGGTGAGCAACCAGCTGAGGCTCCTGGCCAACGCCGTCGCCCGAGACGTGGAGGCGGCCCACGGCTTCACCGGCAGCGCACGAGCGCTCGGCAACGCCGTGACGGCACTGGGGGCGGTGCTGAAGGACGAGGAGGGGACGCAGAGGTTGGCCAGGGCGCTGCAGGGGCTGAGCGGGGAGGAGTAGGGGGTGCTGGGGGGGGGGGGCTGTGTCCTGGGGGGCAACATCATGGCACTTAGGGGGACACCAGGAGGGTCTTCTGTGTCCTGGGGGGCAACATCATGGCTCACAGGGGACATTTGGAGGGTCTTCCATGTCCTGCATGCAACATCATGGCTCACAGGGGGACAGAAGGAGGGTCCTCCATGTCCTGGGGTAACATCATGGCACTTAGGGGGGCATCAGGAGGGTCTTCCATGTCCTGGGGTAACATCATGGCACTTAGGCGGGCATCAGGAGGGTCTTCTGTGTCCTGGGGGGCAACATCATGGCACTTAGGGGGACATTGGGAGGGTCTGCCATGTCTCAAGGGCAACATCGTGGCACTTAGGGGACACCAGGAGGGTCCTCCATGTCTCAAGGGCACCATCATGGCTCACAGCGGGACATCAGGAGGGTCCTCCATGTCCTGGGGCAACATCACGGCACTTAGGGGACATTGGAAGGGTCTGCCATGTCCTTGGGGCAATATTATGGTGCACAGGGGGACTTTAAGAGGGTCCTCCGTGTCCTTGGGGCAACATCATGTCCCATTTGGGGACACAGAGTGGGTCTTCCCCAACTTAGGGACAGCCTGATGTCCCCATGTCCCATCTGGGGATCCCAGGAGGGTCCTCCATGTCCTGGGGATGTCATGTCCCATCTGGGGACACCAGGGGGGGTCTTCCATGTCCTGGGGACGGCCTGATGTCCCATATGGGGACACAGAGTGGGTCCTCCCCACCTTAGGGACAGCCTGAAGTCTCCAGGTTCCTTCTGGGGACACTGGGAGATTCTTTCCTGTCCTGGGCACAAATGGGGACACAGAGTGGGTTCTTCCTGCCCTGGGGACAACCCCACGTCCCTTATGGGGACACTGGGAGGGTCCTTCATGTCCTGGGGACACCCTGATGTCCCATATGGGGACACAAGGAAGGTCCTCTCCACATTAGGGACAGCCTGATGTCCCCATGTCCCATCTGGGGACCCCAGGAGGATCCTCCATGTCCTGGGGATGCTCTGATGCCCCATATGGGGACACAAGGAGGGTCCTCTCCACATTAGGGACAGCCTGATGCCCCCATGTCCCATCTGGGGACACCAGGGGGGTCCTTTATGTCCTGGGGACACCCCAATGTCCCATATAGGGACACAGAGTGGGTCCTCCCCATCTTAGGGACAGCCCGATGCCCCCATGTCCCACCTGGGGACCCCAGGGGGGCCCTTTGTGTCTGGGGACACCCCCACGTCCCACCTGGGTCACCTGCAGGCCTCCACGTCCCGGAGCGCCCTGATGTCCCATTCGTGGACAATGCGGAGCTGCGGGGACCCGCGTACGTAGAGGACAATTGGCTGGCAGTGCCCCCCCGCCCCCCAATAAACTTGAAACCGATTGCTTCCCGTTTGTCACTCGGGGTTGGGGACATTTGGGGGACATTTGGGGGACGCTTCGGAGCCGCCCCTCAGCCCCGCGGCCGCCATTTTCCTCTCAGCGCCCACGCTCACCCTTCACCCCGCCCTTCCGGCTCTGATTGGCTCTCCGCGATGCCACTCCTCGCCAACTCCACCTCCCATTGGCCACAGAGAAGGCGGGACCGCCGCGCTGAGGCTTCCCATTGGGTGCTTCTTTCCCGCCGGCAGAGCTGGGGGCGGGCTTTTCGGCCCGCTCCGCGCGCTGACTGGTTGAGCCCCCGCGGGCGGGAAGAGGGGCGGTGGGGGCGCGTTCCCGGCGTGCACCGCGTGGCTGTGAGGGGAACTGGGGGTAACTGGGAGGAACTGGGAGAAACTGGGAGGAAATGGGAGGGGGGGTACTGGGAGCCGCTGAGGAGAACTGGGGGGTACTGGGAGCCACTGGGGTGGACTGGGAGCCCCTGGGGGTTGCTGGGAACTGCTGTGTTCTCTGTGGGGGCAGCTGGGGCCTACTGGGAGGGACTGGGGCCTACTGGGGTGAACTGGGGGTGTGGGGGGGTGGGAATCGGAGGTACTGGTGGGTACTGGGAGTCACTGGGG